GGGCGGGCTTTAGAGGGGCGGGGTCACATGTAAAATACCTCCTGGCTAGGAGAATAGGGACTGAACCGGGGCAAAGAGTGAGGCTAAACCGGAGTGGGGCCTCAGGAAACTAAGGGCGGGGCTTTGGATGGGTGTGGAAGGTGGAGCTGGGATTGGAAGAAAGGATGGACCTGGGGAAAACGAAGCGAGGCTTCAAGGAAGGGGCGGGACTTGGGAAAGGGAAAGGGGCGGAACTAGACGGAAAAGGCGGTACCGGGTTAGGGGCGTGGCTGAAGGAAAGGGAAGGAGCTTGGGAAAGGGAATGGAGCAAGACTGGAGGCAAGGTGTGGATCCGAAAGAAGGGACCGGATTTGGGGAGTTGCAGAGGGCTGTGGGAGCGCGAAAGGGCTTGTCTACGGTAAAATGGGATTCGGATACCTGGAACCCTGTAGGTTGGCGGAGATATGTATCAGGGCTACGGTTTGCCGGGTGGGAGATGATCTCAGAACTGGGCTCTGACATCGTTCAGATGCACCTGGGTTGCTGGCTCTGTCCAGGTCAGGGCACGTGCAGGAATCAACCAATGAATGCATAGGTGTGTGGGACAACAGGTCAATGTTTCTCTCATCAATAAATTTTATTTTTTTTATATTTATTTTAGAGAGGGAGAGATAGAAACATCAATGATGAAAGAGAATCATTGATTGGCTGCCTCCTGCATGCCCCCCACCCGGGATGGAGCCCCCAACCCAGGCATGTGCCCTTGACCGGAATTGAACCCAGGACCCTTCAGTCTGCAGGCCGACACTCTAGCCACTGAGCCAAACCGGCCAGGGACTCTCACTCCCATTTATAATAATAAAAGCATAATATGCTAATTAGACCAGACAGCCCAACGACCTTCCAGACGACCTTCCAGAGGAATTAGTTCACACAAACACTCCATCCATGCTTTTGTTCCGGCCTTCCGGTCCAGTTTAAGAACCCATTGTGGCCCTCGAGTCAAAAAGTTTGCCCACCCCTGAACTAGGGCAAGTTGTTAAATTCTTCCTACCTCAAATTTCTTGTAAAACGCAGCTCCAAAGCTTTATTGATAGTTCTTGGGGGCTTTGGAGAACTTTGGTGCTAGGGAGAGTCCATTTGTTAAACATGCTTATCACTAAGCCTCCAGTTTTGCCATCAAAGAGGAGTATGAAAGAGTCTTTCAGGGTTTTGGGGCAAAGCCCAAAGGATCTGGAAACTTCTATTTTATGTTATTGCAAACCTTGCATTCGACCCACTATAATGTATGTTTTTGTATACAGTGTTTTCCAAAAAAACAAACAAACCATCTTTAATAAAATCGACACTCAAGGAAGATGTTTGCTGGTTAAGATCTTGGGATCTGGAGTCAAACTGAAGAGTTCTCTTCAATAAGCGACTTAGTCACTCTGAACCTCAGTTTCCTCATTTGTTAAATGGAGAGAAAATATAGTCCTACCTCACAGGATTGTTGTGAGGATTAAATAGATGATGCTTATAAGTCACCTAGTATAGTGTATGATATGTAATGAATACTCAAAATATTAGCTGTTTTTATTATCCTCATTCAGAAAACTCAGACTAAATGGATGAAAACAGAGTTAATATAGTCATTTTAATATATTTTATTGATTTTTTACAGAGAGGAAGGGAGAGGGATAGAGAGAAACACCGATGAGCGAGAAACATCAATCAGCTGCCTCCTGCACACCCCCCACTGGGGATGTGCCCGCAGCCAAGGCACATGCCCTTGGCCGGAATCGAACCCAGGACCCCTCAGTCCGAAGGCCGACGCTCTATCCACTGAGCCAAACCAGTCAGGGCAATATAGTCATTTTAAAGCTGACCCCTTTTGTCCTAGTCAGTCACTCAGTGATTAGAGCAACGGTCGGAGTACTGAAGGGTCCTGGGTTCGAGTCTGATCAAGAGCAGGTACCTAGGTTGCAGGCTCAATCCCTGGCCCTGGTTTGGAGTGTGTGTGGGAGGCAACCAGTCAGTGTATCTCTTTCACATCGATGTTTTTCTCTGTCTCTCCCCCTCCCTTCCACTCTCTCTAAAAATTAATGGAAAAAATATCCTTGGGTGAGGATTAACAAAACAAACAAACAAACAAAAAATTCTGATCTCTTTTGAATTCAGGAACCCCTTTAAGAGTCTGATGAGCCCTGGCCGGTTTTGCTCAGTGGATAGAGTGTCAGCCTGCGAACTGAAGGGTCCCAGGTTTGATTCAGGCCAAGGACACATGCCTCAGTTGTGGGCTCCATCCCCAATAGGGGCCGTGCAGGAGGCAGCCAATCAGTGATCCTCTCTCATCACTGATGTTTCTCTCTCTCTCTCCCTCTCCCTTCCTCTCTTAAAAATCAATAAAGACATTATGCTAAGTGAAATAAGCCAGTCAATGAAAGAAAAATACCACATGATCTCACTCGTTTATGGATAATAAAGACCATTATAAACTGATGAACAAAAATAGATACAGAGGCAGAGCAGCATCGAACAGACTGTCAAACTACAGCAGGAAGGCCGGGGAGGGTTGTAGGGGAGGCGGGTAAGAGATCAACCAAAGGACTTGTATGCATGCATATAAGCATAACCAGTGGACACAAGACAAAGAGGAGACATATGTACTACTCTTTGTAATATTTTAAGCAATAAAACAAAATTTTAAAAAATCAATAAAGAAATATATATTTTTTAAAATAGTCTGACGAACACTATGGCCTGTCTCCTCTGTCAGCAAAAACATACACACAGTTTTACTTATCACTTCTGAAAGTGTTTCAAGAATGTCTGACGAAATGATTGGATGATTGTGTATTAGGATGCGAATAAACCCTAGCTGAAGCAATCTTTGTTCCCTCCTTTTGGTTCGGTGCCAAGGCCCTGGGTCCCCTAGTCTCCCTCCCCAAGACCCATGAGACAGAGGTAGAGTAATTATTATTATCAGCTTTATTATTGGCATGAAGGCAGGGAGGTGGTGACAGTGCAAGGCCCTTCTGTGGGTGAGGGAGTGGAGGACTTGACCAGCCAGCACTGATCCTCCAAGCTGGCCTTCCAATGGGTTCCAGGGCTCCAGGTGCCTCTGGCTTTCAGCAGAAGCAGTGGGTGGGCAGATGGGCAGATTGCAGGCATTGGATAAGTAGGCTCCTTAGGGCTGCTCTGGGGCTGGGGTCGGACTGGGGTTGGGAGGGGGTGGGGGGCGAGGCTGGATGTCCCTGGTGCGCATATAGGACAGCAGCTGCTCCGGGATCTCCGCCAGCACATCCTTGGCTAGTCGGGCCATGCTCAGCACATGGTTCCCTGATCGGTCGACATAGTCTCGGAATGGGACGAACTAGGACAGGCACAGACAATCAGGTGTGAGTGGTGGCCAGGAGAGGGGAGTGGGGAAGAGGGGCAGTAGAAAGGCTTCCTCTTTGATCCTAACATCTCTTTCCAAATATCCCTCTAACCTGGGAGATATTGCTTTCTTTCCACCCATTTTTTTTTCACCTTCTATTCATCCTCAACTCACTCCAGTTTGACTTCACACAATCTACCGAAACTGCTTTTGGTACTGTTGTCAATAGCCCCATGTTCCCAAATCAGTCCAATGGGTAGTAATTGTCAGTCCTCATTTTACTTCTCTCTCCATTACATTTGATCATGATCTTCCTGGACACATCCCACTCTTGACACACCACATTGCTGGATTTTCTCCTGCCTTTCTGGATAAGCTTCCCTCTCCCCCCATTCCTCTGAGTTCTAGCTAATCTCTAAACCTGGTTCCTTCTCTCTCAAGTCTCTTCCTAGGTGATTTTATACACTCCCGTCACTTTAAAAACTGTTCCCTGATGACTCCCAAATTTATATATTCATCCCTAGCCTCTTCTTAAATGTTCAGAACCACGTATTTAGTTGCTCGTATCATATCTCTATTCAGTTGTCTTAGATACCTCGAATCCAATGTGTTCACAACTGAATTCTAATCCTTTCTGCCAAATCTGCTCCTCCTTCAGCTTTCCCTTCCCAGTTAATGGGACTATTACCCAGTTGCTCAAGCTAGAAAACTGAGAATCATCCTGAAGCTCCACTCACTCACCATCACCATTTTATCAAATAGTCAGCTGTTCTAAACGTTTTCTTAAATAATCGTTTGAACCTGCTTCTATCTTCACTGCTTCTACAGTGGGGCCTTGACTTACGAGTGGCCCGACTAACGAGTTTTTTGAGATACCAGCTGTCTCTCGGCCGATTTTTTGCATTGAGTTGACAGAGTAATTTGAGTTAATGAGCTCCTTAACGAGCTCCTTAAGGAGCTCGGTCTCGGAACGAATTAAACTCGTAAGTCAGGGCCCCACTGTATTCCCATCCAGAGCCCTATTGCCTTCCCTCTACTACTTAAAGGCTTCTTCACTAATGAGTCTACAGCCCTTCTCTCTCGCCCTGCTACAGTCCACTCTCCATGAAGCAGAGGTCCTCTTAAAATGGAAGTCTGACCATCTCACTTCCCTATATGAAATCATTCAAGAGCTTTCCTATTTTTAAAGAACAAAACCCCAAATCCTCACCATGATCGGCATAGCCTTGGCTTCCCCTTTCTCTTACTCACTGTGATCCTGTTACCCTGGTTTCTTGCCTTTTCCATGATTGGACCAATTCTTCTGAGCCTCAGGGCCTTCTTTCATGCTGTTCCTCTGCCTGTAATGCTTATAGGTTTCAGCTCAAATGTAATTTCCTCAAAGAAGCCTTCCCTGACTACCCTACCTAAGACAGGTCCTTGTTACAGACTCTCACAGTGGCATTTGCTGTTCCTCTGGAGCACTTATCACAACCTAATGAGATATTCAGCTGTGTGATTATTATTGGTTGCCTCCATTAGAAGGCAGAGGCCTTGGGGATCTACACTATGGATCCATAATGGCTATAGCAACCTGCCTGTTTCTCACCAAGATTTTGTTCAGTGAAAGCAGGAGGGCTAAAAGAGTGAGGGGTGAAAGGTGGGTGATTAAGAAGGCAGAAGAAAGAATGGCTGCCAACTTAGTCTCTCCTTCCCATCATGCCTTTCAGCTCCATGACTTCCTCTCCCTGGTCAGGTCTACCTGAACGATGTCTCGCTCAGCATAGCGGCCCCTAGAGGATACACGTACATCATCACCATCCAACTCTTCCATTGCTGTAAAAAAGACACCCCTCAGCTGATTGACCTCTCCCACACCAACCAACCCATGCGGCCCCTTCCCTCTTAGCTCCCTTTCAGAGTCATCATGAGAATGCCTCATGATTGTCAAAGTCCTGCAATTATTAGGCATTGCTATGGCATTATTATTATGTCTTTCCACACATTCCATCCTCCCAGAAATCCCAAAAGGGAAGTATTCAGATCAACAGCCTTGGTTATGATGAAGAAACAGGTTCAGAAAAGGTCTGTGACTTGGCCAAGGTCCAACACAGACATCCATCGTATTTTTTGGGGAGGGGCAGGCCTGGGTGCCCAGTTTCTCCTTTATTTTCCCCAATTATTGGTCCCACTCAGGGACAACCCCCATCCTACTCACCCTCAAACATGGCTGGTCCCACACCAACAATAATGATAGACATGGGCAGTGAGGAGGCCTGTGAGGGAAAGAGGATGAATGTCTGGGGTGAGTAGCCATAATAAGGGAAGTGACTGTTGAAAGCAATTTTTTGTGCATGTGTTATATTTCTGCACATCTTGCAAGTAGAGGCACTGATTTCCTTTGTTCCAGACTATTTTTGCAAGGGTGTCTGCATGTCAAAGATATAGTGTCTTTCTTTAGAGCCAAGGGCACCTTTGTTTAGTGCCCAGTATAATAAAATGTCTCACACTGGAACAAAGTGGAGAAACTGGGCACCCAGGCCTGTCTTCCAAACATTACTGCCCATTATAAAACATAAGTGTTTCCTAAGCTCAGGGTTTCTGTTCTATAATGCAGCTGACTGGATGCAGGTGTCATCTGGCCCTCTTAACATCATCTTGTGGGAATTGGGGCTTAGAGAATAAGAGAAAATGCTGATACTTGAGCTACTGCTATTGCTGGGAATAACAGAGTTCTTTGTCCCTGTTCCACAAGTCTTGTGTCTTTTGCTAGCATTCATGAAACTGGCAGGCTAAATTGTTAGCTTTAAACCTCTTGACAAGTATTACTTAATTTAATAAATATTAAGTTAAAATCTCAATCCCTTCACAGTTATTAACAGTGACCCCTCCCTGCCAAGTCCTCCTCCTCAGACTCACACTGACAATGGCCTCCTTGGTCTGTGTCATGTCAGAGATGACTCCATCGGTGATGATGAGCAGGACATAGTACTGGGAACCATCAGAGATTTTGGCTGCAGCCCTGGGTGAGAGGCCAAGAACAGAATCCAGCTGAAAGCCCAGAGAGACCAATGAGAACACCCCACTCCTAGAGCTTCCACAGGCAGCGTGTAAGTGCCAGGCAAGGATTGGGGCTTCTGAAGCTCATGCTCCTTCCCCAGACCTGAGTGCCTGCCACTGTCTGCCCGTAACATTTATGGAGCACGTAATATGGTAGGTTCTGTGTTAGGCACTGAAGGTACACCACGAGAAAAAACAAGTCTATCCCAGCCCTCTCAATGGGAGGCAGATATTGATTCAAGAATCACTGAAATGGGTATAAAATTACACTTATTATGAGTGCTGTGTTAGAAAAGGACACTGCTGTGAGGGTGTATCGTAGGGATTCCTGGCATAGTCTGAATCAGCAAAGGCCATGGTAGAGCCAGGTCTCCTGACATCCATTCTCAAGCCCTGTGTGTGCTGGAAAGGATGGAACTACACTATCCATTAAAGTATTCCTAGCCACATATGGCTATTGAAATGTAAGTGAATTAAGTTAAATAGAATTAAACATTTCGTTCCTTATTCACCCTATGTTTCAAGTGTTCAGTGTCCATATGTGACCATATTGGACATCACAGTTACAGAACATTTCTATCATCACAGAAAGTTCTATTGGACTGTGCTGGTATTTAAGCCTAATATCTAAAAATCAGAGGAAAGCATGGTGGAGAACTCAAATAGCTATGGCTCAGTTTGCCCAGTGCCTAGGGTGGGATTGGGTTATAATCTTCCTTAGCAGCCCCTGTTCCCTTTCTGAATTCTGGCCACAGCCTCTTCATAGGCCGGACTGGTACCATTTCCTGTCACTGATTTTACAAATATCATTGCACACTGGCTGTGTGTCAGGCACCAAGCTCAGTGCTAAGCATGCAGCAGAGAATAGGATATTGTCCTGGGGAGGTGAATGCTTATACCATTATGATACATTGAGGTTAGGGCTTTGAGGACGTAACATCTAACCTAAGACAAAAATGAGTACAAGTTAGCCAGATGAAGATGTTGCCGAGGTAGAAGAGAGGAGTGGGAGGAGGGAGGGGAGGTAAAAGGAAAAGTGTTCCGAGAGAGGTTTGCATGTGCAAACCAAGATATATGTTCTAGTGGCATACGTAGGACTACAGGAGCGAGATGAGGCTGGTACCGTGGGTGAAGGCCCACACATGAAGGGATTTGTGAGCCAGGGGCAATGGGAGGTACGTCTCTGTAGACACCTGGCATTACCAAGGCCATTTAGACCTCTGAGATGGGTGACTGGCTGGGGAGGCCAGTCTGTGCCCCACTTGGCTACTGGATGGTAAAAAATGCAGAGTCATCTATGATCATTAAAATCATAGCTGCAGCCTGGTCATCATGGTTCAGTGGTTGAGTGTCGACCTATGAACCAGGAGGTCACAGTTCGATTCCTGGTCAGGGCATATGTGAGGGTTGCAGGCTCGATCCCCAGTAGGGGGGGCGTGTAGGAGGCAGCCAGTCAATGATTCTTTCTCCATCACTGATGTTTCTATCTCTCTTTCCCTCTCCCTTCAATAAAAATATATTTTAAAAAACACCCTTAGCTGCACACTTGTAATTTAATCCTTATAATCATTCTATAAGGTAGGCACATTTTTATTCCTATTTTTTAAATGAGAGAATTGAAGTTCAGAGACATTAAGTAGCATCCTCAAGGGATGGTGAGGCCATGGTCCAACTCCATGCTTGACCAACTGAGCCTAACGCCTGAGCTCTTGATGCCCTCTCTCCATTCCCAGGCTGTTCTTCCTCTTGATGCCTCTCCATTCCCAGGCTGTTCTTCGGATACTCCTCCATTCCACATACATGGCACATTCTGATCCTAGTATACTGTTCACTCTTTCCTGAGCTTGCCCCTTCACACCTCTGTGCTTTTCACATGTGGTCCTTCTGTCAGACCTACTCTACTCCATTCTCTGATAAAGTTCAACTTGCCCTCTAGACCCAGAGTGGCAGCCCCCTTCATGAGAAGGCTGCCTTGGATTTCTCAGACTAGGTTATACCCTCCCCTAGAATTCAAATAGCTATGGCTCAGTTTGTGCTGAGTAGTTCTGTCAGAACTACTCTACTCCATTCTCTGATAAAGTTCAACTTACCCTCTAGACCCAGAGTGGCAGCCCCCTTCATGAGAAGGCTGCCTTGGATTTCTCAGACTAGGTTATACCCTCCCCTCCTCTCCCTCTGCCTTCTAGGATATCGCCCACTGAAATGGGCTGTTCTCACACCCATTTGGGTACCAACTTGTGTGCCTAGGGGGACCCAAGGCAACAGAATACATGTCCCATCCATTGTACTGTATGATCATGTGGATAAAGCTAGATGACTCTATGTACACTTAAAATACCTTTTTTTCTAAATTAAAGCAAACATGGACACAGTGTGAGAAGAATGTAAAATGTGTGTGAATTTTTAAGATAAAACATGGGGACTTCAAAGACATGTTCAGTCTGGCTGCTTTCAGCTGTGCCCCCAGATTCCCCTGGGGGAAGCAGTCACTTGCCTTTGCTGACAGGCGACTTGCTGGAAAAGTCTGGGAAGCTCTAGCCTACAGAAGGTAATGATTTATTTATATTTCTGTCTCTTGCACCACGGTGGGAACTCCCAAGGGCAGAGATTAAATCTGATTCATCTGTGAGTCTCCAGTGCCTCAGCAGAGAACTGAGCTCACAGCTGATGCCCTCTGAATAGTAATAACTATAATAATAGTAACAGTAATAGCTAACATCTATAGTACTTATGATGTGGCAGGCACTGTTCTAAGTGCTTGACAGATGTTAACTTAGTCTTCACAACCCTGTGATATGGATATTATTATCACCATTGTACAACTGAGGAAACAGACACAGGGAAGTTAAGAGCCTTGCCCAGAGTCAAACAGCTATAAGAGGTAGAGTGTGTGTATGACCTAGTCTGACTCCACATTCATGTTACATTGCTCCTTTTCTTAATGTTTATCTATTTATTTGTTCATTCTCACCCGAGCATATTTTTCCATTGATTTTTAAAGAGAGTGGAAGGGAGGGGGAGAGACAGAGAGAGAGCAAAATTGATGTGAGAGAGACACATCAATTGGTTGCCTCTGCCCTCAGCCTGACCAGGGCCAGGGATCAAGCCCACAACCGAGGTAGGTGTCCTTGACCAGAATCAAACCTGGGACCCTTCAGTCTGTGGGCCGACTCTCTATCCACTGAGCCAAACCGGTTAGGGCTTCTTAATGTTTATTAAATGAATGAATGAATGAATGAATGAGTGAACTTTTCCAAGATAATATTTAAGGAATCTGTTTAATAACAACTAAAGAATATGCTCAGGCTCTACTATTAAGTGAAAAAATCAGTAGTGAAATATTATATGTAATTTGACTGCAATTATGGATGCATAAGGAAAAGACTGTCAAAATACATACATATATATGTTGGGCAGTATTCTGGGTGATTTCTTATTTCTCCATTCTTGAAATTTTCTATAGCAATGTTATGTATTATATTACTTTTATAATTAAAGAAACTATCATCCTTATTATGAATTAAAAAATAATTTTTTACTAGGGAAAAAGGAAGTCTATGGACATATAAATCTCCCTGAAATCCTTCCACTTTTATTAATTTTGTTTCTTTTTTTTATAATATATATTTTATTGATTTCAGAGAGGACGGGAGAGAGAGATAGAAACATCAATGATGAGAGAGAATCATTGATTGGTTGCCTCCTGAACACCTCCCACTGGGGGTCAAGCCTGCAACCCAGGCATGGGCCCCTGACCGGAATTGAACCCAGGACCCCTTAGTTCCCAGGCCAACACTCTATCCATCGAGCCAAACCAGCCAGGACTAGTTTTGTTTCTTTATTTCATATTTTTACTTTCAAGCTTTCTGAGGTACTTAGTTTTAGTTGGTCTCTTCTATTCAGCATTTAGTATGACTTATTTTTAAATTTAATCAGAGAGTATTTTTCCTTTAGTAGGTGAGCTTATCCAACTTGTGTTTATTGATACATGTTTAGTTTTAGTTCTGTCATTTTTTAATTTGCATTTACAAAATAATTTGATATGTGATCTGGACTTTATTTTGTTTATTTTTAGTCTGAAAATTTGGAGTTACTGCCTGGCCTGTGTGGCTCTGTGGTTGAGCATCGACCCATGCACCAAGAGGTTGCTGGTTTGATTCCCTGTCGGCATACGCCCAGGTTGCAGGCTAGATCCCCAGTAGGGGCATGCAGGAAGCAGCCGATCAATGTTTCTCTATCATTGATGTTTCTATCTTTCTCCCTCTCCCTCTCCCTTCTTCTCTCTCTAAAAAATCAATAAAAACATATTTAAAGTCTGTTTAAAAAATTGGGGTTACTCATATTTTTATTTGTTTTTTAAATCCTTACCTGAGGATATGTTTTTATTGATTTTAGAGAGAGAGACATGGATGTGAGAGAGAAACATCAATTGGTTGCTTCCCATATGTGCCCGAACCAGGCAGGGAAATGAATGAACCTGCAACCCAGGTATGTATCAGGAATCAAACCCACGACCTTTCGGTCCATGGGTGGATACTCTAAGCACTGAGCCAAACCAGCCAGGGCATACTCTTATATTTTTTATTAATTTATTTTTTAAAATATATTTTTATTGATTTCAAAGAGGAAGGGAGAGGGAGAGAGAGATAGAAACATCAATGATGAGAGAGAACCATCGATCAGCTGCCTCCTGCATGCCCCGCCACAGGGGAACAAGCCTGCAACATGTGCCCCTGACTGGAATCGAACCCAGGACCCTTCAGTCCGCAGGCCAACACTCCATCCACTAAGCCAAACCAGCTAGGGCACTCTTATGTTTTTTAATCTGTTTTTTATTGAGCACTTACTATGGTCAGACACTGTACTAATAATTATTTTTTCTTTTTTTTTTTACCATCATTAAAATTTTTTAAATTTATGATTATGCATTCATTGATTGCTTCTTGTATGTACCCTGACCGGGAATTGAACCTGCAACCTTGGAGTATTGGCATGACGCTCTAACCAACTGAGCTACCCAGCCAGGGCTTTGTGCTAATAATTCTTTTTTTAAAAAAATATATTTTGTTGATTTTTTACAGAGAGGAAGGGAGAGGAATAGAGAGTTAGAAACATCGATGAGAGAGAAACATCAATCAGCTGCCTCCTGCACACCCCCCACTGGGGATGTGTCCGCAACCAAGGTACATGCCCTTGCCTGGAATCGAACCTGGGACCCTTCAGTCTGCAGGCCGACGCTCTATCCACCGAGCCAAACCGGTCAGGGCTGTGCTAATAATTCTTACATTGCTATCTAACTGCAACCTCCCAATAACTCTATAAAGAAGGGGCTATTGTTATCCATTATTACACCCATAATGGAGGCTTAGAGAGGCTAAATTGTATAAGTCACATAGTGAGTGGTGGAAACAGGATCACTTCCAGATCTGATGCCAAAGCTTGTAACTTAACTGTTGTGCTATAGGCCTTTCTCTCCCCCAAACTTGATGTTTCAGTTGTTCCCAGGGAGTGGGGCTGGGGTAGTTTGCTGATACCCTCTCTGACCCAGAATAAGGCATATATAACCTCTTTATACCAAGGGCTGGCTAACACAAACTTTCACCCTCTCCCCAAAGCCCAAGTTCACTAAGAATGGTTCTAACTATCCTTGGGAAGTCAGTCCCCTGTCTGGGTCCCCTTGTTCTCCTCAAACTCCATCAAGTTATCTTACCTGGCCACCTGGTTGATGACAGGAGCAAAATAGGTGGGCCCGTAGAGCTGCACTGTGCGCAGGCTCTGGAAGTAGCTCTCCAGCACACCCTCAATGCCCGCACAGTTGGGGTCCTCATCATTGTTGTTCTGTCAGGAAAGATGCCCTGCTGGGCTGGGCCCGTGCAGGGTACACCCAGTAGTGCTCTGATCCAAGCTCACTCCTTCGTTTTATCATCACTCTCTTTTCATGCCCCGCCCACCAAACTCCAGCCCTGCTCCCCCTCCCTGCTCTTCTCCCCTATCATAGCTTCCTGCTCCTCTGCAGGTCCATGACCCTTAGAAGAAATGTAAATAGAAGAAATTTGTCAACTTGGGTGGGCCAGATGCCAGGGCATGAAGTGTAGGCTCTGGCCCATACCATACCAGGGGGAACTGATGGGAGATCCGTCCCTCTGGGGGCAGCTTGGCCCCAAAGCCGTAGGCTGGGAAGAGCTTGTCACTGTCATAGTCCTGGATGATTTCTCCCACTGCCTTGAGAGCCATGGCATAGGCGCTGAGCTGGTAGGGACTCATGTAGTGCAGGGAGGTTGGCTGCAGGGGATTTCCTGTAGGGACACAGGAGCCCCAGCCTTATAGTCACCTTGCTCATGCATTTCTTCATCTGCCTACCCTGGTATGCATCCATACATCTATCCATTCATCCACCCTTTACCCATGTACTCCCTTATTATTTTACCCAATCATCCATATATTCATTTGTCCATCTGTCCACCCACCAACCCTTACATTTATCCATAAATTTATCTACCTATCCACACATTCACCCACCCACTAGCATAAATCCATCTGTCTACCTATATCCATCTGCCTTTTCATTCTCTTATCCAACCATCCATCCATCCACTTGTCCACCTGCCATTTCTTTCTTTTCCATCCATCCATACAGCCATATTCATCTGTCCACCCATCCATTCATCCCTATCCATTCCATTTATTCACTTGCCTATCCTCATATGGATCCATCCACCTGTCCACTCATTCATTCCCCATCTACTTACCCATTGTTGCCCCTAATTTAAACATCTGTCCATTTACCCACCCACATACTCATCCAGGCATCCTATTGTTCTTACGAACACATCTACCCTCTCTGTTCATCTGTCTACCCAACCAGTCATCACTCACCACCCATTCCTCTATCCATCTGTCCTTATACCCCTATTCTCTCCCATTCATTCATTTACTCATCCACCTCTTGAACTATCTGTCCTTTCAACTTTCCTGATCCATTCACACACTTATTTTCCTATACCCTCTGCTCACCCTTACGCCCAATAATCTCTCCCCAACATTCCTGCCCAGTACCAGCCTCACTGGGCTTTGCCTCAAGCCTCGGCTTACTGGGTACATGAACTCTTATCCCTAGCTTGGAATCCAGACCAATCCTAAGGGCTTCCTACACATCCCATTCCCCAAACCATGCCTCACCATTAGAAGCTGTGAAGTCAATGGCTACTGTGAAGTTCAGCTGAGTCCTGTCAGGGAAATAGATGGATTGAGAAGTGAGGGACCAATACTTATTATACCAGAATTTCTCAAACACTAGTGTGCATATGAACCACCTGGGGATCATATTAAAATATATATTCTAATCTGGATTATCTAATTGGAACCTGAGATTCTATATTTTTAACAAACTTCCAAGTGATGCAGATGCTGCTGGTCCATGGAGCACACTTTGGGTAGCAGAATTAAATGCCTACTGTATGACAAGTGTATTACATGTAATTTAACTTAATCCTTACTATAGCCTGAAAGTAGTAATTAACATCTCCATATTACATAGGAGAAAAGCAAGGATCAGAGAAGCAAAGCACCTTTCTCAGGTCTGCCTGCCTCCACTGAACCAAGCAGAATGTCCCTATAGTCTGCTTGGGCTTTCCCTCTCTCTTGACCTCTCCCCTCTTGCCTAGACATAACTTTGTATAGGTCCCAGTCAGATTACTGGGGCCACCTTTGAAGGCCACTGGTCTGGAATCTTAGGACTGGCTCTAAGCCAGCACCAGGTGCTGCTCATCCATGGCCTCATTTAAGCCATGACTTCAAGGGAGTCTGAGAGCCAGGGATGAAGCCTCGAGAACACTATGCGTTTTACAGAGTGCTTTATAGTTTGCCAAGTGTTTTAAAGTTTGTTTTCATGATCTCATTGGACCCTGACAATTCATAAATAAAAAAACTGAGGCTCAGAACTGGGAGGAACTCGTTTAGCCCAAAGCTTAGCCTGTAACTCACCCTCCTTTGATGTAATCGACAAAAGTGAATTCAGAGTCCACAGAGAAAGAGAGCAGTGTCACCTGTGGGATAGAAAAGGCAGCCCTGCTACTTTGGAAAGGGCAGTTGGAGTGGCAGAAGGGAAAGAGACCCATGATGCCACCCCTGCCACACCCTGACCCACCTTCTCCAATTTCGGAAAGGGCAAAAAGAGGAAGCTGTCGGAAACATATTTGGATTTCCAAAGGTATATTAAATTGGGAAATACAATTTAGATTTTTAAAAAATATATTCTACAAAAAGAGTAAAGATCAAAAAATTTCCACAGTTGAGAAAAAAAGAGGAAAAACTTAATGGTGCCACTTTGTGCCCAACATTACTAATCCAAGTAATGTGTACCTACAGCCTTTTGGTACCCCCAACATGCTATGTCAATGGAGATAGACACAGAAGGATCCAGGGAAGGTCAGAGCTCCAGGGAGCACTCACAGTTCCCGAGTTGACATATTTCTTCTTCTTACATTTCTTCCGAGGGTTAAGTACCTAAGTGAGGAAGATAACAGTGATGGTGGGAAACCGAGGGAGGGAACTACAGACTGATCACACTGGGATGAGGGATGACCTGGGCAACCTGGGCAGGGCTGGAGCTCTCACCTCATATACTGTAAACTGGTTCTGGGCCTTGCTCAGCTCCCGGTAGCTGGTGGTGAACTCACCAATGAAGTCATGGCTGCAATGAGGCCAGGGGTGGGTGAGTAGCAGCTGCTGCTGGCTTGGAACCAGGCCTAAAAACAGACTTTTATTCTCACTATCCTCTTACTCTACTTGAGCTGTAGGGCATTGGTGTTAGGGCCAGAAGAATGGCCAAGCTAAGGGGAAGAGAAGGGAAGAGACCGTGTACTAGAGAGACAACTGAGGGGATCAGTTGTACCCAAGGTCTTGGTATCTATCATCACCCTTCCTGGTTCCCAAAGCCACTTTGGGGGTTCTAGTGAATGTACTACACATTGTAGGGAACTGTTTGGGTTAAGTACAGGAGAAGGCAGTTCTACCTTCCATCCCGGTCCCAGTCATACACATCGATCTTCACTGTTCTGAAATGCAAAAGATAAAGATAGGCTGGGTGTGTATGACAAATCTTAGAGACACCCCCACCTTTACCTTACACAAATTATCTTCCCATCTACCCATCAGTCCTTCCATCACCGTTCCTCCCATTTGTCCATCTATTCTATCTATTCATTCATCAATCCATGCACAATACCCAACTATCTACTGCCACTACCAGTACTACTATTACTACTGCTGCTATTTGTACCACTATTGCTATTCTTTACCACGTCCTACTATATTCCAAGCATTGTTCCCAGAACTTTCACAGATTGTCTCATTTATCAACCACCTTATAAAGTAAGTACTATTATTCTTACTTTTTGGATAAGGAAGCTGAAGTACAAAAACAAAACAAAATAGTAACTTGACTAAGGATCATAACTGAGCTGAGATTAAACTCAGACATCCTGGTTCCAAAGACCTTGTTCTTAACTGCTATGCCTAAGTCACCCCCATATGTCCATCTATCTATGTGGCAGTCCATTCAACCATCTATCTATCCATCTAGTCACCCATTTACCCATACATTCGCCAATCCAATTACATATTAATTCCTATCTTTGTCCATCCATCTAACTATACATGCAGCCATTCACTGACTCATTGATGCATGCAAGCATCCATCTGCCTGACCATTCATCTCTCCAACCAAACATCTGACCATCTGATATCTGTTCATCTGATATTCCATTCATCTATAACCATTTCTGTGCCCATCCATCTTTCCACCCACCTATCTTCATACTGCCCATTTATTAGTTTATATGGTCACCCTGTCCATCTGTTTTATATTCATCCATCAACTAATCTATCCATCCATCTACTATCCATTCATCTGTCCACCCATCAATATACCTATCACTCCATTTATTTATCCTCCTGCTTTTCCAATCATCCCTCTGCCTCTGTAGTCCACCAATGAGAGATCCACCCCACCAATCTCTCATATAGCCATCCATCTATTTATCCATTTACTCATCTATACATAATCTGTCCATCCACTAATCCAGCCATCAGTCCACTTATCCATCCATATATCTCCCCCTCTACCCATCCATCAATCCTCTTATAACACCCATCCATATACCCACCCATCAATTCACCAGTCTACACACATCCATCTGACAATCCACCCATGTATCTTCTCACTCATTTGTTCATTTGCCCATCCATCCATCCATCCATCCATCCATCCATCCATCCATCCACTTATCCATCCATGTGGCTATCCATTTGCTTCTCCATCCAATCATCTCCATGCCCAAAACTGTCTCACTGAGCAGGATCCTCTAACACTATTATGACTCTCTGACATCATTCTGGGGCCCCACTCTCATGCCCTTGTCCTCTTACTCCCTAGCTTATGCTGAAGCAGACCTGTCATAGTCTCCATTGCACAGTGCCCGCACAGGGATGCTGAAGGGCTGCCACACAGGGTTCAGTGTGTTTTTCACAACCTCTGTCTTGTGGCAGATGGTGAACCTGGAGAGGAGCAAGAGATTAAAGCTTGCCTTTGGGTAGGACTGAGCCCAGAGAGAAGGCCTGATACTCTTAGAGATTTCGGGGATTCTCCCACTTGTTAAGCACATGTTGTGTGCTGCCTTGAATGAATTCTGGACTCAGGTCCTGGTGGAGTCTATGATGCCCAACCTAAGAACCCTAATGGGCCCATGGTCACAGCGGGAGAGGCTGGGTGCCACTGGAGAGAGTAGTGACTCACGTGCCATCCTCGTTGCTCCTGTAGAACACAAGGAAGGGGTCTGATTTCCCAAAGAAGTCCTTCTTGTCCAGCTTGTTTGCACACAGCTGCATGGTAGCAATGTCCTAGGGATGAAGTTGGGCTGTTGACCTCGAATGTCCCATAGTCTCAGACAGTCCACTAAAGGGAGTTTGGGGAGAGAAGCAAGCCTTCTGGGTCTAGCATGTGGCCCTTACTAACCCGGCAATTGCTAAGCTCTTCTGCGGTCAGCAATATGGTCCCACACTTCTTTCCTGGTACACCCCTGGAAGCAGAAAAAGCCTCTTTGTGAGGGGGGAGAGTAGGCAACAAGGATTGGGGTGGCCAATCTGGGATTGCAGGGCTGGGCCAAGGGTGGGCCAAGGGATTCATTTTGCTATTTACTGACAGTCCCCTGAGTGTGTCCCTTTCTGTCCTGAGTGGCTCCTAGTGGGGAAGGGCTTAACTTTGACTGGGGAGGGGTCTATAGTCTTGTTTGGGGCTAATATAACCTAGGTGGGCATCTCATAATGGTATAATGAGAAAGACATAGGATTTAAAAGTCCTGGAATTTCTATCCAAACCTGGGGTAAAGGGCCTATTTGTCAGATCAAAGATGCTGTGCTTTCCAAAGACTGTGAAGAGTGAAATATAAAAGACAAGTGAAGCCTGGCCAGCGTGGCTCAGTAGTTGAGCCGTGACCCATGAAGCAAGAGGTCACTGGTTCGATTCCCAGTCAGGGCACATGCCCGGTTGCCAGGCTCCAATCCCAGTAGAGGGCGTGCAGGAAGCAGCAGATCAATGGTGTTTCTCTCTCATCGATATTTTCTATCTCTCTATCCCTCTCCTTTCCCCTCTCTCTAAAATAAATAAAAACATATTAAACAAAAAAAAAAAAGACAAGGGACACCCTGGCTGGTGTTTCTAAGTGGTTAGAGCTTCAGACTGTGCACCGCCGAAGGGTCGTAGGTTCATTTCCCAGGCAAGGGCATTTGTACCTCGGTTGTAGGTTAGATCCCCAGCACCGGTAGGTCAGGTACTGAAGGAGGCAACCAATTGATATGTCTTTCTCACATTGATGTTTCTGTCTCTCTCTCTCCCTCTCCCTCCCTTTCACTCTCTTTAGAAATCAATGGATTAACAACAACAAAAAAAGACAAGGGAAGCCTTAACCTTTCCTAACCCATGTGCATGAAGGTTGCATACCAGGACATCTATCTCCAACTTGCCTTGGGTCTCCAAACAGTCAGGAACCTTGTTTACATGGACCTATGAACCCTGATCCTCAAAAGGATCCCAAGTATGGGAGAGGAAAGCTAGGTCAGAAGTGTTCCGAATTCAAGTCCTGGCACCAACTTGCTATGTGATTTTTCCCATTTTTAAAATGAGAATTTTGAACCATTTATTTGGCTTCTTCGATCTTTGACCTTTTGTACTTTAAAAAGACAAGTGTGATGAGTACAGGGATTCTTCACCTGCACATCCAGGACAAAGTCACTGATCCTACTGCCTTCTCACTGCTTTTCACCTTCTTTTTTTAAAAAATATATTTTATTGATTTTTTACAGAGAGGAAGGGAGAGAGATAGAGAGTTAGAAACATCGATGAGAGAGAAACATCGATCAGCTGCATCCTGCACATCCCCCACTGGGGTTGTGCCCGCAACCCAGGTACATGCCCTTGACCGGAATCAAACCTGGGACCCTTTAGTCCGCAGGCTGACGCTCTATCCACTGAGCCAAACCGGTTTCGGCTGCTTTTCACCTTCTTGATGTTCTCTCTCACCTCCTCACCCAATATAATTTCCAGTCAGTGATTATAATAGTCACTACCTTGCATCCTACCCTTTTCCCTTGTCCTTCTCTCACTTTAATATACTTATTTGTTAAAACCACTGCCCTAGTTAAACCCAATTCTCTGCCCAACCCATACTGCACCGATACAACTGATATGACCAGAGGAAAACATATAATCATGCTAACTGATCTCATCTTAAAACTTATTTATTTATTTATTTATTTATTTATTTATTTGAGAGAGAGAAACATTGACTTGTTCTTCCACTTATTTATGCATGCATTGGTTGATTCTTGTATGTGCCCTGACTGGGATCAAACCCACAACCTTGGCATATTGGGATGATGCTGTAATCAACTGAGCTATCCCAGTCAGGGCTCTAATTGGTCTTATTTTATTATATATATATTTAAAATATGTTTTTATTGATTTCAGAGAGGAAGGGAGAAGGATAGAGATAGAAACATCAATGATGCGAGAGAATCTTCGATCAGCTGCCTCCTGCACACCCCCTACTGGGTAGCAAGCCCACAACTCGGGCATGTGCCCTGACCAGGAATTGAACGGAGATCTCCTGGTTCATAGGTCAATGCTCAATCACTGAACAACACTGGCCAGCTAGTCTCATTATAAATGCATGACCACAAACCTCAAGAGGGTCCGTCTATAGTCATACTGTAGGTCCCAAGATCCTTTACTCTTCAGTTCTGCTAGGTGGCAGTTTGACTCCTTCTTTACTCTCCTCAAACCCAAAAAGCCTCCTCCCCCATCCTCACTCTCAGCCAATGACCTTGTTTCCTATTTCACTGACAAGACTGAAGCAACCAGAAGAGAATGTCCACAGACCCACCACATCTCCTCTGCCTCGGTATCTTCACCCACACAACTGTCTTCCTACCAACGCTATAAATGACTATGCATGTGTCTACTTACCCCTCCACTGTGTGCTACATTCCCATCTTCTTGCCTACCTACACAAGGACATCACTCCAGCAGTTCCCCCCTCATTTTGTTATTTCAGTTTCCACTGGGTCTTTCCCTTTAACATACAAATGTGGTATAATTTTTCTCATGTTAAAAAATTAAAAAACTATTCTCTTTTTACAAAATTGATTTTTAGAGAGAGAAGAAGGGAGAGGGATAGAGAGATAGAAACATCGATGAGAAGAAAACATCGATCAGCTGCTTCCTGCACACCGCAAGCAGGGCATGTGCCCTGACCAGGAATCGAACCAGTGATCTCTTGGTTCATGGGTCGATGCTCATCACAGAGCCACACCGGCCAGGCACAAAACTATTCTTGACCTCACTTTCCTCTAGCCACCCCTCCTTTTCTCTTCTATTCTTTGCAGCAAAGCCCATTGAAAGATTCCTTTACTCCCTTCTCTTCATTCTTTTCTAAATTTCTCCAACTCTCTCTCCTTCAAAACTATGCTTGTCAGAGTCACCAGTGACCTCTATCTTGCCAAGTCCATTGGCAAATTCCTAATTCTTACCTTACTTAACATGCAGAAGTTTTTGACATGGTAGTCACTTTCCTCCTTGATCCAAGTCTTGCACTTTGCTTCCAGGACAACACCACCTAATGCTTCTTCTTAGTCTCCTTTTCTAGTTCCATCTCATGGAGTCTCAGTCTTTGACCCTCTCTCTCTCCACTTATCTAGTCTTATGGCCTTAAAGAGCATCTAAGACTCATGTATCTTTTTAAAAAAAATTTATTATTGTTTTCAGAGAGGAAGGGAGAGGGAGAAACATCAATGATAATCATTGATTGGCTGCCTACTGCACACCCCCTACTGGGGATCAAGCCTGCAACCCGGCAACCCAGGCATGTGCCCTTGACTGGAATCGAACCTGGAACCTTTCAGTCGAAAAGCCAATGCTCTATCCATTGAGCAAAACCAGCTAGGGCAAGACTCATGTATCGTATTGTCTACTTGACATCTCCATTCGAATGTCTAATAAAAATTATGAAATTCAACAAGTCAGACTGAACTTCTGATAGAATTCCCCACCAACTTACTTCTCCCTGAATTTTTTTTTTTTTAACCATCTCAGTTTATGACAACTCCGTCCATCCTGTTGTTCAAGTCAAAGGCTTTGGTGTCATCCTTGACTCCTCTTTTCCTATGACATTCATATTCAATCTGTCAAGAAACTTGGCTCCACCTTCACAGTATATCCAGAATCTGACCACTTCTCCCCTCCTTCACTGCTACCTCCCTGGACTACTATAATAGCCTTCCAGTTGACTCCTTGCTTCTACCTTTGTTGTACCAAGATCTATTCTAAACCCAGCAGCCAGCATCATACTTTGAAAGCATTGTCATATTATGTCACTTCTCTGCTTAGAACTCTCCAGTGACTTCCAACTCAGAGCAAAAGCTAAACTCCTTACAATGGCTATAAGGTCCTCACTGTTAACTCTCCAACATCACTTCCTCCTTTCCCCTTGCTCCCCTGGCTCCAGCCACACTGGCTTCTTGCTGCTCTTTGAACATATCAGGCTTTTGCACTGGCAGTTTCCTCTGCCTGGAATATTCCTCCTCCAGACATCTGCATGGCTCACTCCCCTCCTTCCTTCAGGTCATTGCTCCAAAGTTACCTCTCCAAGAGGCCCACTTAACCATTTTGTTTCAATCCCCCTAATTCTGCTCTACTTAGCTTTTTACCATGGCACTTACTGTCTAATATGTTATGTAATTTACTTATTATGTCTATTTTGTAGGTCTCACCCCCCACTCCTTAGAATAAGCTCCCCAAGGGCAGGAACCTTTGTTCTGTTCACATTACAGCCTAAGCCCCTTAAACAGTGGCTGACAGAGTATATGCCCAGTAATATTTGTGAAATGGATATATCCCTGGTATCTAGCACAGGGAATGGCATATGAAACATGCTAATAAATATTTAGTACATAATGGAAATTCCAGAGGACTTGACTTAGTGAGTGGAAACCTCATGGAAGAGAAGAGCTTGGAAGTGGACCTTATAGGTTGAAAGACTTAGAAAACCAGTGAGGAGAGAGAGAAGACATGCCAGGCCTGAGATAGACTTTAACACAATCCTAGAGATTAGAGCTTCCCCCTCGAGGGTGATGGGAACCATTGAAGGCTCCTGACCAGGGGGAATCCCAGCTTCTACTACTACCAGGTCAGCAGGATCTTTGGGAGGAGAATTTGGAGGCACCCACCCTTCCCCCCTCACTCCTTCCAGTTCAGCTTACGTGAGGGGTCGCTCTACGCGGCTACCCTGGCCTCCAATCACCTCTCCCAGGGCCAGGAACGCTTGTCCCAGGAAATCCTGCACAGGGACACGGAGTCAGATAGGCCTGGAGGGGCTGGGGGTGCAGAGTCCCAGCCCAGCCCTGGAGAAGAGGCCACACCAACCCAGCCACAACGACCAGGGTGTTTCAAGGAGGCGGGACATAGCAAGAACCACCGCCCAGCCGGTGCTTTAAAAGAGCAGGGGGCGGGCGGGGGGGGGGGGGTTCCCTAAGCAAGCTCCCCTTCTTGGTCCTGTCATTTAAAGCTGCTCTCCATGTTGCCATCCCACCCCTCACCTCCACCCTCCCCACTCCGTCCAGCCGGGTTCAGCCTCACCTTCTACAGGACCCAGCAGCGGCCAGAAGAAAGACGAGCATTGAGTAGGAGGCACAGGTGGGAAGCCGAGGCAGGAACCGGAGAAGGGCCGGGAAGGGTGGGTTCGGACCAGAGAAGGTAGAGTCGGGGTTAAGAGGTAGGAGGGTTCCAAAGAGGGTCGTTTCACCCTGAGCGACGCACGTGTGCCCAGACCGCGAGGGGACGCTCGCTCACCGGTTTGGAGATGTTGGTTTTGGAGTCGACGTTGTACCTGGAAAGAGAGTAGGAGCAGCGTCGGGCGGGGCCCGTAGGGGAGAGCCTGGAAAGGGGGTCGAGTTTCAAGTGCTGGTTAAAACTGCGGCCAGAATTAAATCCGGATCTCCTTTGGGGTAGGAGTCAGAGTCGCAGAGGGTCAGACCTGTGCGAGGCCAAATCAGGGCCT